ATCACATGATCAAGTATAAAAAGTCTTATAAACAGGGTTTTTCTATTTTAAGCTTCTAAAAAAAAATTATAAACCTGCTGTTTCTAAAATTGGAAACGTTCTTCTGTGAACAATGCCTTTTATGAGAAAGTATTGAGTATTAGAAACATGGATGACATTTCTTATTTACAAAAAAAAAAAAATAATAATAAAACAATTGTAGCCTTTTGATTCGGTACAATCCCTAGATATATAGACCTTAGAGAAAGCATATCGACCGAGTACGAAGTTGCGAGGTCGATATGCTTTCTCTAAGGTCTATGTATCTAGGGATTGACCTCATCAAAAGGCTATAATTGTATAATATTATTTTTACGGTGTAATTCAATAAATCTGATTGGTTTGCTTGCTATCAGGTGCAAAATTACATTTTACGATATTGACTTGAGTTACTAAAAATAACCAAGGAAAAATCCAAAGATGGTGAAAAGTCTTTAAAACTTACAAATTCCTACATAATGTTTGTCTCTTTCTTTTCCAAAGAAAATAATATAACAAATATAGCCCTTGTATGAGGTCGATCTATAGATATATCGACTTCACAGAAAAGCATATCGACTGAGCACGAAGTGCTCAGTCGATATGCTTTTCTGTGAAGTCGATATAGCTATGGATCGACCTCATACAAGGGCTATATTTATATAATATATAATTTGTTTGGATGTGTTTTATCAGCTTATTTACGGTTATGCTTCTCAAAAATCTTTTTATTTGTTTATTTTTTTAATATTTTTTTTCTAGTCGAGAATTTCTTCTAGACCCCCCCCCCCCCATCCGCCCAAGTGAAATTGCGTCACCTCTAAATTAGAATGTGGAGATTTGCCTTCTTCAGCATGTTCGGATCCTAGACGTACGCTTTGGTAGGTAAGAAGATTGGGGGATTCTTACTGAAGTCAAAAGTTCCAAACTAAAAGTAATTAGGACTTTACAAATTTGCATCATTTAATTTCGATATATTATTGTCTTATGACCTTGACCTTTGAGATATGGCCTTGATGCAAGATTATTATACATCTCTGAGTTCAACTGGACAAGAACCTACAGAAGTTTAAAATTTTTCAAATGAAGGCCAGATTTAAAAGAAAAGACAATTTTATGCTAGTCAGCTAAACACACAGACAGACAACCATGTTTACAGTTACTAGCATATTTGTAATAAATATATACATGATATAAAAATCAAATTGATCTTCTGCATGAAATTAATGGATGTCAGGATAAAGCATTTGAAGTTAGATTTTCGGCCCAGGAATCTACAAGATAAGGTTTTATTCTACATACAGTATCAGGAAAAATTGCAGTTAAAGCTGAAAAATTTGCAAAATGTATCTTTCTAATATATGAAATATTTGAAGAGTTCAATGTAGTGGACAGTACATAAGATACTTAGGCCAAATAAAAAAATATGTGTGGTTCCGGTTACCCGACCTTCCCTATTTTATACCCCCGACCCTAAACTTTTTTTTGGCAATTTTCATATTTTTTCCGGAATTTCCCCCGATTTCCATCAATGGCTCCAGTTTAAGTTTTAGTTTCAACAATGATGGCCTCCTTGCAAAACATAGTGCAAGTGTTTAATAGTGTTAAATCCAAAGCAAGCTAGCATGTAGGTGTCCCCTACCAATATTGACTAGTCCATTATCACACCACATCTAAATGCCATTTGCAAAGCAGTGATAGGTATTATTTAGAAAAAATTAAGAAAATCAATTTGTTAAAAAAAAAACAAAAAAAAAAAAAAAAACCCTACCTACCTACCCTAATTCTTTTGGTAGTGTGACCGGAACCACACATATTTTTTTGTTTGGCCTTATATACTGCCTTCCTATTCTAGTGATGCAATAGAGTCTCTCTCCATTTCAGGCAGATAAAGCTACAGCAAGCCTGCATGGCTAGTTTTTGGATGGGTGACCATTCCACATTACACTAAGCATACTACCTGAAGCAAATGTTTCTTGCTAGACTTTCCTTCATCAATCTCCATGATGGATCCAGCACAGCAGATAGAGACGTTAATTCCAGACAGAAGGGTGGACGGTGTCCAAGAGGGAGGATTCTATGTGAACCAGACAACAAAATTATCTGTGGAGTCCCCAGTGATGTTTGTGAAGAGATCAGAGGTGGAGGACAAAGTGCTGACAGCACATGAAATCTACAGAAATCTGTGTCAACAAAAAGCTTGGAGGCTAATTTAATGCAGACAGACAGACAACAAGCAACTGTGGTACAGCCAGGTCTTCAGTGTTCAAAAGAGAATAACATTTACACTAACATTATTTAGTACAGGTAAACAGTATATACATTGACTCAACTTACTCAAGAAAGATTCTGAGGGGAAGGGGGTCTTGAAAAGGGGGGGGGGGCAAAAAATCTGATAAAAATAAACTAAAAGCATACATGTCAAAAAGATTGTGGAAATTATGCAATCTTCTTTTTGAGGAGCCCCCCCCCCCCCCCCCTCAGCTCCACAATTTTCTTCAATCTGTAAGAAAATGACTGTTGAACAGTGCTGTATAATGAGTGTTAAAGTTATACCTATGCACAGTATACCAATTAGATACATGGTGGAATTATCTAATTGAAAGTGATCATGTTCATTTTTTTTTTTTTTTTTTTTTTGTGGAAAAGGAGACATTAATTAATTATGTTGAAATGTATGTACAGGGTATAGAATACTGCAGTTAATCCAGCATTAATTGAAGTACAGATACCTATGCACTTTTGAGCTAAAACAGAAATTTAAGGTAAAATTAATATTCCCATTGTAACTGATGATTAAGTTGTATAGCACAAATCAGAAATGTGATAGTCATAGCAACTGCAGTTATGATTTTATGACAAGATAAAATTAATAAACATCCATTAGATATGTAAAGAAATTTCTAAAAAAGTTGTGACTCAGAGAGAATGAGGGTTGTTAAATAAGTAATGCATTACATACAGATTATCTTAAAAAATTGTAGGGATAGTTTATTTCAATTTTTCACAGTTGAAAAGTTCTCTAAACTCTAAACACTGCTCACTAAAGAGTTCTAATTACCTGGGAGTTTTATGCAGTCAGAGTGATCTGCTCTTTGATGAACAAAGTAAAAAATGAAAAACTAAAGAAAACATGCATTAAATGTGCCCATGGTCTATTAAAACAAAATGAACATTTTAACAAAAGAAAGTCTGATAAACCTGGATGATGGGTGACAGAACACGTGTGCACTTATTATAGCCCAAAAGGAAGATCAATGATAAAATGTGAAATGATAAAATGATAAAATGTGAAATTGCAAAGAGAAGCCAGAGCTGCAAACAGGTCATTGCAGGTTTTCTTTTTGCTGGAGAGGTCCAATACATTAAGTGCATGTACCTACGCCTAAAGGAAATACCATCAATTTATTGGTAGCTTTTATTTTCAAATTGTACTGAGGAAAGTTAAGCAGGTTTTCTGTTTGGAATATGTCCAATTACCCATAAATACTGAAGAAAGGAATGTTCAGGGAGCTTAGCGATTCCCAGTATGTGCCAGATCTCAGTCATTGTGACTTATTTTTATTCCAAAAACTCAAGAAAAACATCAACAGAAGATGCCATAATTTCAGGAATATCATGGGGAGTGCTATCCATAAGTGTCTTTGGTGCATCCCTGAAGAAGAGTATGCTGAGGTGTTCTGGTCATGGGTAAAGAAACTTACAATGTGTGTAAAGGTTAACAGGGAATACCTTGAGGGATTAAAAATATATAGAAAGTGCTTTTTATTCTTTTCTTAGGTTCTGATGAGCATTTGTATTACTTATATTGAGTGACCTTAGTACACAGAATGTATGAAAATAAACCAAAACTTAAAAATATTTTATAACGGGAGAGGAGAAAAATGTGATGGACCAGACTGGGTTTTGAACTTGAGCCCCCTGAATCTCCAGTCAGGTGCTCTACCAACTGAGCTATCTGGCCACTGGCGATCGAACCAGTCTGGCTACCACATTCCCCCCTCCCTAAAGGTCTTCGGCCCCTGAAGACACCAACCCTGAGGCTCTTCTCTGGCAGGTCTTTCACCTGTCACTTCCTGGTCATGGTACCAAATGTAACGGGAGAGGAGAAAAATGCAACATACCAGACCGGGATTCGATCCCGGGCCCTTCAAATCTCCAGTCAGTTGCTCTATCAACTGAGCTACCCTGATACTAGGCCGATATCCATGGTCCAAACCATTACAATATTTTAGGGTGTTAAATCCCCTAATATTTTACACTTTTAAAGATATCCATTAAGATTATTGCTCATAAATCTTTGTTAAAAAGTATAATAAAACCCACATATTTTAAATGTAGAAAACCTCTCAAAATGTGGTTTTATTTGATTTAAGCCTTTATTTGCCTATAATTTATATGTTAGAGTTATTTACAAATGACATACACCTTGCTTATATACTAGCTAATAAAAAAAAACCCTTCCCATATAGTTTTTTTTATTTTTTAATATTTGTTCATTTGCCAATTTTCTGTAATTCATGACCTGTGTTATCCAATTTCAAGACAATTTAACAAACAGCTTTTAACAATGTCAAACTGGCAAATACTTTAAAAAGAACTTTAATTACCCTAAAGAACTGAAAAGTGTTCAACCATTAATTCATTTTATTAGAAATTGACAGTAATCTATATAGTTAAGGTAGCTAAATGAAAAATAAACAGGGTTTTCATTACAGTAATGTCAACACTGACATGAACACAGACTGCACAGTTGAGTTGTTAATGGAGAAAAGTTCGATTATTGTTCTGTGTTTTTAGAGAAGTATTAGGTACTTAGATAACATTATATCTGCAATGTTTACTCAATACCTGGTGAGATTTGGTATGTGGTGTAAATTTTAAAAATGTGCACGCATGTTCTTATGAATAAGGTAAATTATCGGGTTTAATCAAAGTAATGAGACCACAAGATTTTTTTTATTTTCACCTACAGGTTTTTGTTGTATTCTCATTAGAGGAATGGCTTTATACATAGCTGAGCCATGACAGATGGATTGCTTGCGACTCTTCTCTTTGAAGTCAATGAAACATTCAGGTAAATGAATTATTTAATTCAATTTCCTTTTCAATTTCACAGCGTTGATCAAGACAGATATTTACTATGATATATTTTTAAGTAGTCTATAGTCAAATAATTATAGACCTTAAAATTGTACTTGGATGCTGTTTATGAAATTGCACACCTATTAATAGATTTTTAGTAACATAAATTATGCAGTGTGTAATATACTATTTCAAAAACATAACAGCAGCAGTTGTCAAATTGTCTACTTGAATTTTAATACAATTGTAACATAAAGGCTTTTTACCACAGTTAACTTTAAATTTCTTGTTGGAAAAGGAAGTTAAATCATCTTAGAATTCTGTGAATTCCTTATCTCCTAACTGGTTTATGATGTCATGGGATCAATATAATTATTAAGACTATATGTGTGCTGTAGAATATTTTCTGTTAAAATTGTGTGGACCTTATTGCAATTAAAGTATATACATTCAGGTAAGTAAAGTAAGTTTATGCTTTGGGGATATACATGTAGTAGCAAATGGACTGAATTCTTAATACTTAGTAACACAGACTAATTAAGCCAATTAATGTCTCTGGATTTTTATCAGCTATATGGATTTTCAGACTACAGAACAAATCTCTGTTAAAACTGTCCAGAACATGATATTTTAATGACCCTGCATTCCTAATGATTTTCATATGATGCTGACTATCTCATAGAGACAATTAAAACTCCAGTAAATGATGATAAATATGTATAGTCAGTATAGAATCCACAGATTCCACAATCAATATCTGCATGGACTTGACACTTGATGGCGATAAATACCGACCATTTTCTATATCAATTTGTCTGCATTATTCCCCAATTTGATGTAATCAACAGGCATTATACTTCTTGGTAATCAGTCAGCTGTTTTCCTCCTGTTTTGCAGAACCCTCATGGCGATTTACTTAGGTATCTGAGGAAATTATTGCCATGCCATTTGCTCCGACATTGAAGCTGAGGTCCACTGGGTCTCGAACTTCTGCTCGTAACAGGTTGTTTTCCAGTCCGAATAGTGGTCAGCCATTTACGTGTCCATCTACAACACGGAGAACCAGTGATCCTGGTGTTTTCTACTACAGTGATGAGTAAGTACTTACATGCTCTCTGTCTCTCTTTTTCTGTCTCTCTCTCCTGCTCTCTCTCTCTCTCCTGCTCTCTCTCTCTTTCCCTCTCTCTCCATCTCTCTCTGTCTCTGCCTCTCTCTCTCTCTCTCTCTCTCTCTCTCTCTCTCTCTCTCTCTGATAATACCAGTGGAATAAGGGCCAAGGGGAATAACTCTTTGCTTGGAATTTATTTATTATAATCAAAAACTAGGGTGAAAAAAGATAAAGGTCAACAAACCACTGCACTTGTTTGGTCAGTACTTTAATGACTAAATTAACCCCAATAAACAGAGTCATCAAGGGATATATTTTCATCATGTTAGATTTTATAAAAGTAAAAGGGAGATAATCAGAAACTTGTTTTGAAATTCCTAGGAAAATCATTTTGAACTAAGAATATTTACTGCATTTTGCAATAATTAATTTAACTGCTAAAAGGATGGATGGCAGGCGGTTTAAGTTAATAAAACAAATGATGCTACATTAACATCAAAGAAGCTGCTTTCTCAAAATGTTAATGTTCTGAAGAAAAACTTAGGAGAGATGTTATACACCAAAATTATATGATGATCATGAAGAATTTAATTTCAGACAAAGAAAAAAGAAATGTAAAAGTGTATATTTATGCTTTATTAATGAATCTTGAAATTGATTTAATGTGTAGAGAGGGCGTGTGTCTCTCTAAAACTTGTGTCCATTCTTGAAATATTAAAAGTGAAGTTGTGTATGCTGTGAAGTGCCATTTTGAGCATAACAAACCCAACAGCATTAAAGTTGCTTGCTGATCTTTTTCAATTCAGTTTTCCACACAATTGATTATATTGAAAGAATTCCCAGTTAGACTCTTAGAGATGCACACTGTGCACATTCTTTTTAAAGCATCTTTTGACAAAAGGTGATTATACTAAATTATTTGATTTAGGCATGAAGACGTGATATGTTTCACAAAATCTTTAACACTTAACTTGTATGCATTGTGTGCATTTAAGATGCACACCCCCCTCCCACCAATCTAGTAATTAAGTTGGTTTCACCTGCTTGCTTGCCAAGGCTTTAATTACAGTAGAAGATTAACTTTGTATCTGGTGCATTAATGGCTATAAGGATGAGCTGCTATTTTGTTTGGTGTTGTCCCAATGTTTAACAATTGAAACCAAACACATCTACAAAGTGAACTTTTACACCTTTTCTGACAAGTGGCCTTTTGTGGACATCGTAATAGGAAAATGAGATTTTTTTTATACTTCTCAATCCAATCTATCAATCCAATTTGACAGACCATGCTTGGTTTCACATGGACATTCAAATCCACTTAAAGATATTTGATAGAAAAAGAATTTTTCTCTCTTTAAAAACCCCCAAAATTTTTACGAATTTATCTTCATTCACAGATTCATCAATATCTTTCATGATCCTAAGTTTCTAAATTAGATTTCATGACTCCAACAAAATAAAAATCTATTATTTGTAGCTATGTCTATTTATATCTGATGGTTAGCTATAGATCTTGAAGGAGTCAGGTTTAACATAACGAGGACATTTATTCCTGTCAGTGAAGAGGTACCTTGTAATTAGACAGGGTGATTAAAATGATATTTAAGTATCTTTCTTTTGGTTATTGTGTTTGATGTGAATGTATTAAAATACATCAAGTAATGACGAAAACATCAGAGTAACATATATTTACTATAGTTGATTTGGTAACATTGATGAATTTAATTAAAATCATGTTGTTTACAAAATTATTAAAGCAATTCTTCAAAAAATATTTTCCTCCTAAATTTAGTAATATCACATGTAAAACCCTGATTAAAAAAATTTTCATCATGGAAGACTTAAGTATCCAAGTACAGACAATTTGTGTTTAAAAAAATTATAGAAGCAAAAAAAAAAAAGCTCAAAACCTGGATAGTTTTTGGACATATGATGGTAGAATTTTTATTAAAACTGAAAGGGATGGGGACAGCTAGACTACAAATCACATCACTGGATGACCTATAAATTGGGTTATAAAAAACCCTTTCAAACATATATGTATTTATAATGAATAAACACAGAAAACATAATAATCAGAGGATCAGATATTCTATAGGATACATTCATTATATAATACACAAGTTGAATAGAAATCGCAAGAGGTAATTATTGCATCAACCAAAATGACCTAACTTTTTAATAAATGTTTGTTCAATTGAAAAAAGGTATTCATTCTCGACATCATTTATCAATTCATCTCCCTGGCTCAGAGTAAAGTGTGAATATCAACAGTGTGTAATTCCCCCATTTACAGAAAAAATTTGTCCAAAAAGTCTTTTCTGGCTTCTGTATAATTTTTGCATGAGAAGAAATAATGATCCTCCACTCTTCCACAAGAGCGAAGGGGATCGACTCAATATTACATCAATAAAGAGTGAAGAGTGATTGGAAAGGTCTTTAAACAACACAATTAAATCTCAGGTTTTGGAATATGCATCACTTTTGATATACTATGCAATTTAATATAAATTTCAAAGAAAATTTTATCTGATTGAAGTCATTTTCTGTCTAGTTTATTGCTGTAGTCTTTCTGTAGCAGAATTTATTTGTAGTGGTGCATTAATTTTTTAATAACAAGAAATATTTTAGCTAGTTTCTATATAATAATTACCAATTCTTTTCTCAAAAAACAAGATGTGTTTGTGAAACACTGATGCCCCGGTATGGCTACTTATAGCAAAGGTTAAACTTTCTCAAATGCAAATCAAATAGGTTGGTACCCAAAGTAAGGTTTTGTCTCGAGGAATATACCTGTGAAATATGAAAACCCTAGCAGCAACCATTGAATAGATATGGAAAAGGTTAAAGTTTTTTCAAAAGTATGTCAAACATCAAGGTCAAGGTCAAATGGTCAAAATTAATGGTGCCCAAGGAAAGGCCTCCTCCCAAGAAATACACAGGTGAAATATGAAAGCCGAAGCACCAATCGTTCAAAAGTTATGTCCAAGGTTAAAATTTTCCAAAAGTAGGTAAAACTCCAAGGTCAAAGAGTCAAAGTTGTTGGTATCCAAAGGAAGGTCTTCGTTGTCACAAGGATTACACATGTGAAGTATGAAAGCCCTAGCACTAACCATTCAAAAGTTATGACCAACGTTAAAGTTTTTCAAAAGTAGGTCAAACTCCAAGGTCAAAATGTCAAAGTTGTTGGTGGTACCCAAAGGAAGGCCATGTCACAAGGGTTACACATAAGAAGTATGAAAGCCCTAGCACCAATTGTTCAAAAATTAATATGGCCAAAATTAATGTTCGGTAAAATTTTGCAAAACTGGGTCAAACTCCAAGGTCAAAAGGTCAAATATGGTGGTACCTTAAGCAAGGTCTTGTCACAAGGAATACACATGTGAAATATGAAAGCCATTAGCTCCAACCAATCAAAAGTTATGGGCAAGGTTAAAGTTTTTGTGGACAAACAGACAGGGCAAAAACTATATATCCCTGAATCTTTGATACAGGGGCATAAAAAAAAAGAAAAAAAAAGTTTTAAATTTAACCTACATGAGGCCCCAAATTTCTTACCTGCAGCTTTTTAGCCAACAGTTTAAATTTTTGTGTTTGAAATCCCATAAAACCATTAAAAGAACATGAAATGAATGCAACTACTTCAAAAGTTGGTTTTTATATTCATCATTAAGTAATAAAATGTTCCTCCGCAAAGTTGTGCATAATTTTTTTGGGGGTACCAAACAGACATTGACAATACCCAAATAAAGTTAAAGCATGCATGACTCTCTTTTTTGTCAAAGGTGCTGCTTAAAAGGGGATAAAATTTATGTCGGAAATTTATCTTCATGAAGTAAAAAGCTTATGTTAATTTATCCTAAATTGACGATTTATTGTCATACAAATTTGAAATCTATTTAAAATTGGATTTATCAGGCACAAAATCTGCTTGTTCTGCCTTAAATATTTGTAAACAGCTTGACACAATGGACTTGTGATCTTGATCTTTTGTACTTGAAGAATATTTCCCAAAATTTAGCACAATCATGAACATGTGAATTTATAATGATGGGTATATGGTTATATGACAAACATTTCACTGACTAAAAGATTTAATGATAAAATGGACAGAGAAAATGAATTTTAAACTCATAATGCTCAAATTGAACAATAAACTTGACTTTCTATATATACACTTATTTGAAGAAAAGGATATCTTTAACTAGATGATTTACAGATAAAATTGTTGAAATTTAACTCCCTTGAAAATGCAATACTCATACAATGCAAATAAAGCATGTTTAAAATTCAACAAATTGTAAGAATGAGAGAAAATCTCATAGTATTATTTTTTTTGGAGCAATAGAAACTTTTTTAAGCTAGTCTGGTATGCAGTAGGACTTTTAAAATTGCATGTTTAAGAGCTATATTCAGTGAAAACATTTTTTGTGTGTATCTGGATAATCCGTTCTGTAAAATACTAAACTCAGGTCATGTTACTCGAGTACAACAGAGGGTCCTTTTTCTTGCTTACATGATAAATTGTATCGTTTTGGGAATTGATTGATGCGTTTTGTTTGATAATTTCACAGAGAATGATCACATTAGAGGAATTCATTGTGAGGTCAGGAGGCCAGTGTTTAGAGCTTTGATTTACCTGTCTCAAAAGGTAGCTCAGGTAAAAATGTGTGGATAAGTTGTTAATTTTCCTCTGTAAATTATTTATACACCTTCCATTGTCTACTTGGTCAGCCTGTGATTATGGATTAATTTATTTCTGGACCTGTAACGGTGACCACTCTATCCGAGGTGGTATGAATTAAACTTTCAAGGTAAGAAGTAAATATATGCAGTCAGAAATTTATATTTCAGAATCGACTATAATCTCTTGGACGATGTTTTCATTGGCACTTAGAACTTAAAATGTTTCAATGAAAGGATTAACGTTATTTTCTGCATTTAATACTTGGTGGACTTTTTATGGTGATCAAGGAATCATTATTATTTGGACTAAAAGGGCTCTCTGATAGCAAACTGGCAGTGTTAAAGGGTGCTTTGTTTTCTTTCATAGCACACATTAAAAAATCGATGATTTGATCACACATTCACAGATAAGGAGGAGCTTTAAGGTGTCTTGTGTTTGCAAACATTCAGGTCTGGATTGGTGCATTCTTTAATCAATATATTGTATCTGCATGCATTTAGCAGGTAAGTTTTTTTGGGGGGTGGGGGGGGGGGGGGGAGTTCTCTTTCATCTGACTGTAATTTACCAAAAAAAATCTTTTGATAATAAATCAATGATAATGATAATAATTTGCAATGATAACATCACTGTCAACATCTTGAAATTTAATTGATTTGAATGTAAAGTAAAAGTAGAAAATATGGCACTTGAAAGTAGCTATATATTATCAATAGCTATTTAAATTCAATGGACACAGCTCTCTCTCTCTCTCTCTCCCTCTCTCTCTCTAATAATTGAGAATTTACAAATATAAGATTGAGTATTTAATTACACTGCATGATGTTGAGATTTAAGTGGGATCACCACTGATGGTTTTAAATCCTGTTAATTACAAGGGTCATTCATTATGACCGTGCTCGGGAACACTGCATGAACACGAAGGAAATTCAAATATTTAGGGTCATCTTATGTCAAATATAACAAAGCTTAGTGGACATTTAAAGTCACAGCACAATCTTGAGTCTTGACCACATGTCATTTATGAGTTTTAGCCACAAATCCACTGCTTATAAGGTATAATTTTATGATCAAGCCTTACAGTAATACAGACACAAGGGTTTTTTTTTTTTCATTCAGTGACTTGTAAGGAAATTTTGCACCATGTGAGCTTTTCTAATGATCAATCCATCATTTACTTTGAAGTTTGACATCTAAAGAAAATTACAGAGGACTAGCTGTCATTTGTGGGTATCGTTTTATAGCTTTAAATCATTTTTTTGTACAGCTTTGTCACTTTAAGAGACAGTTAAAAATTCAACAGTTTACTGTAAAAAATAAATAGATAAGCTTAGTGAGAATCTGCATAGTAATTTCATTTTTCATGGAGGATGTAAATCAGGTTAAATAGTGTATGGACCGATCCATAGTGCTTGGAAAGGGGAGGGGGGGGGGGGGGGACTGACAGAAGGCCCAGTCCAAGGAAAACAATGGAGCCCCCAACCACCCTTTTATTTACTGTATACTTATATTCAACCCATTGAAGAAGTTTCTAGATCCATACCTACATGTACATGTATATTTGTGATAAAATAGCTTATAAAAACTTTATTGAAAAATATTCAGAAATTGCATTTTGATTTTTCTGTATGATAAAAGATATACATGACTGGGTGCCTTTATTTTGAGGGTTCATGCATGCATCTGGAAAAAAATTCAGGAAATAAAAATGATATCTGATTAAATTTGCAAAAATTTGAACAAAAAAAATCAATAGATGTAAGCCATTAACATCCCCTAAATTTATAATGCATTAAAAAAAAAACTTATTGATTGTATAGCCTAAATTATATCAATGCCATTTTTTTTAATCTGTGAAGATTCAGGTGTTGTATAGAGGTGGTGATGAAAGGTAAATTTTAAATATTGGTTCCAATCAATTTTTTTAAAAATAAATTTAACAACTGCAAGCTTTTTTTTTTCTTTTTAAGATCTGGGGACACATTTCTGGAATATCTGTTTATGTATCTCTTAGTAATATATACGAAAAATGTTAATGATTATTCTATAATCTTCTGATTTCTAAACTGCTTTCAAAGTGTCTCAAAAAATATATTTTAAAAATTGTAATACAGCAGTTAGTTAATTCTCTTAATTTAAATAGGATTATGTGTATAAGGAATACATTCTCTGAAATCTTGTAATATTGCCTGCAAATACCTCAATTTTTTTGGCAAGGAAACTTTTTAAAATAGTAAATTTCCTTCAATCACAAGTTCTTGCAAAATATATTATATTATGGAGGAAATGTTGTGTTACTTTAACTATTTTCGATATTTTCTGTGAATTTCATTTATTTTTTCATGTACTACTGAATATATAATGACTTCTTACACAATCTATAAAGCTTTTGTGATTATTAATGTATTTTTTGATAAGAGCCCAGCTGTTAAGGGATATAATCTTTTAACATAATTATAAATGTAAGTCTGTATGAAAACATATTTAACATATGTTGCAGATTTTTTAAGCTTTTGATTTATGTCAACTGAACATATGTTACGCAGTGTCACATAAAAATTGTAGAACTTAATTCAATCAATATAATCATCCATGTATTTATATATCTACATGAGCTAACCCTAGAAGGATACAGCCATAACACATATTACAAGTCAGTGAATCCCATTACTAACAAGATGATAATCAAACTGGACGTTTCATTATTCCTCACACCAAGTGTCACAGTGACAGTCCACTTGACCAAGATTTAGATGTCCAGTAGGGCAGTCCAGTTCTGTGTGTGTGTGTCCAGATATAATATGTGTACACAACTCAGAAACATTAAATCTGCTCTCCAACACCATCATACAGCATTTCAACCAACAAACTTAAAAAGATTTTTGAATTAAATTGACATTTAAAGGTGGTTTAATTAAGGCTATCCAATTATTAGGAAATGGTCAGGGAAAGGTATTATTACCCCAATTTATTGTGTTTTAGATAACAAACTGCAATTTTTTTTCTTCTTTTTTAAAAAAAATCTCTCTATTTTAAAACTGTTTTAATTTTTCTCCCACTGATTTAGATTCAATAATATTTCAGATTATAGTTTTCACTGTCATACTTTGATGTATATAACGAGGGTAAAATTCTAATCATTTTTTATGTCAATCTAATTTTCATTAATTGCTGATTCTCAGGAGCTTGCAGGAGCACCCCTCCCCCCCCCCCAACCCTCTCAACACTGTCCTTGACTCACTGGGGACCTCAGGGGTGTTCATGCTCTCCTTATATTTAAAACAAAACCCTGGATCCGCCCCTGCTTCCTAATAAAAGCTGTAATATATAATATGAGTGAAGAGGTTTGTGACCACCTGGAAGTGATAGGTGGTCCTATAATGGATATAATACTTCAAAAAAATCAATTAAGGTTCAGTAAGCCTGGTATTGTTGTCCTCTGGACAGATGTGACACGTTCCTGGGGGATGATAGATTTTGATGTATTTAAGGGGATTTAAGCTCAGTGTGGTGAAGTGAGTTTATGTAAGCTTGTATTACATTTATTTATGTGTATTTCTAAAAATATACATATTATCACTGGATTTTCTTACCATGAAAATACTTCTCTTTTTTGTGCAAATCCTTTTGGAGTTTCAGCATTTATATAAATTATTTCTCTGACAGAAAGATATATAGGCTCTTTTCTTTTCATCCATTGCATCAGAAGGCATGCTTTTGACATCAGTCAAAATATAGGGAGGATATGTTCAACATTTTTATTGTTGTATATATAATTTAATTTACAAGTGGGACAGGAATTTTTTTTATATTGTCATATAAATTCTGTCTCACGAGTGAAATAAATTCCATATTCAGCTATAAAATATTGAATTTTCTGTTTATTACATTTTGAATTCTTTGATTTTCCCTTTGCCTCTGTCTTTTTGCAATGTAATGTCGTAGGCTAGCTGTGACATCAATTAGTTGAGCAGTTTTGTGACATCATAGCTAACCGATTATGAAGATTGAACATTGTAAATGTGGATTTTAACAAGAATTGGGAGAAACATTGGCAGTTTACTGTCTTTGTCAGGATGGTTTATTTACTCTCACTATCTTATAACAGGCAAGGAAGGATTTGGACTCGATCTTCATGAAGGGAAGGGAGTTTTGCTGCACTTTTGATATTTTTTCACAGTGTGAAAAAAATAGCACTTTCATTTCTTCACAGTGTGAAAAAAATATCACTTCTATTCAATAAATAAATGACAGCATTTCCCTGTTGAAAATGTAATATAAAACTAAAAAAAAATTTACAGAAGTATCAAAATCCATTATTTAAGGACATACGCAATGTACCTTACCTACTGATACTTTTTCGAGATATTCTTAATTTAAGATTATAGTGCTATCAGATGTTCGTAGACAAAAAATCAGCATGCATTACCAGGGGTTTTGAAAAGATATCAATTGATGAAAATTCTTGTATAATTCAAAGAAAAATATACAAAAATTACTAAACATATATTCTAGATGTTTTGTTTATCCAAACTTGTTTTAGAAGAAGTGTACAATAGCATATATAGACATTAAAATTTAGCACACAGTTCCTTTAAGTATTGGAACTCTTCAACTCCAAGGAAAAAGACAATAAAGTTCAAACTATGTTGCGTATGTCCTTAATTTATGTGGATAGGACTTGTTATGGGTATAGGATAATCCTTGTGTTTCTTGTGTGATTTAATTTCTATACCAAGATTATTATATGATCATTCACATATTTCTGTTTTATTTCTCAGATCATCAACAATGGGATCTAAAAAGAAGCAGATAAGGTCCAATGGCACTGTGACACAGAATGGAAAGAAAGTATCAAATGGAGTGAGTGAACGAAAGAGGAAAAATGAAGACTCTACCACAGTCACAAAAACTGTGCAAATAAGTGCTTTTATCATCATAATCATCGCTTTCATTGTCATGTACAGGACTGACTTTTCATCAGAGAAATCTTCAGAACAATCATCTAGTCCATCTAAGTCTTCCCAAGATTCAAAAAAATCCCAGAATTCCATGCATTCAGATTCCACGGGCAATTGGAGACCTGCCACAAAAGAGGCATTGAGGTTGTATGGATCATCCAAATGTACAGTAGATAGGAGGGATGCCAGTGATTTAACTGTGAACGAATTCGAGGATAAATATAGATTTAAAAAACCAGTGATTGTAAGGTTTCCCAGAGGGGCCAGGGACTGGACTGACCCCTGGAAATGGTCCCTCCGCAGTCTGAAGCAGGAGTATGGACAGTGGTATGTCCTGTCTGGAAATTCACGAGATATTGTACGGAAAGGAGGAAACGGAGATGTCCAGTCATCTTTCTCGGAGTTTGTGGATTCCCTGATGCAAGACAAGGATGAAATTGGAGAACCCTTGTATGTAATTGAAATGTGTTCCAATAGTCACTTTTTAATGTCACTATCCAAAGGGAAAAATCTAAATTACCAGTAAAAAAGCAATAACATTTGGGTTTTATTCAGCACATATTTACTGATAAAAGTCATTAAGATATATATTTCTCAATTTGGTGATGTTCATAAAAAAATTGAAGCAGAAAAAAATGATAGTAAAATTACATATAAAGAACTATTTCCTTTTCAGCTACATTTTTGACCGAATGTTCTACAATGATTCCAGTCTTCCTAGAACTTTAAAACCACCAAAGTACTTTGAAATCAAAGTGAGTAGGTATCAAAACTACCATTGTGTAGCATCAGAGAAGAATTTGACATTCATACATGTAATTTCATCACTCCCTCCTTTTTTTGAAACAATGGTTTAAAATTTGTAACTAATTATTGATGGCCCCTTTACAAAAATATACCATCCTCTTAATCAAGGCCAAAATTGCTCTGTAAGACTTGATTCAAAATAATATATTGGGTAATATCAATATACATACAGTCAAACCTTGTTATCTCAAACCCAAGGGGACCATCACGGTAGCTCAGTCGGTAGAGCGCTTGCTCTGTGATCGAAAGGTCGTGTGTTCCAATCACGGCTTCGACTGATCTAAGTCGATAAAAAAAAGGTAGCAACTGTTCCTTCATCAAGTGCTCGGAACTTTGAAGTGAAAGTTGTGGGTCCTTAAAAACAGGCCCTGTGTCATGGCAGACATTGGCACGATAAAGAACCTTCACTGCTTAATGGCGCAGAGTGCCGAGTATAGGTCTGAATTTGAAACCCTTCACCGATATATGGTGATGTCTCTGTATGAGTGAAAAATTCTCGAATGGGATTTAAAACATACAATCAGTCAATCAAACCCAAGGGGGTTGACATTAAACTAAGAGATATCCAAGGATTTGAAATAAAAAAAAAATGTTTAAAAAAGTGCCTGGGACTGAAAAATCACTTTGACATATTCTTTGTATTCAAGATATTGGTGTTTGAATAACAAACGTCAACTGTTATATACTTGTTAATGAATGGTTTAGTTTAATAATCATTTCTTGAGGTCATAATCTCAGGGAATTATATGGATGGAGAACTAGTTTGTAGATGCCTTTAAGAAAACTCCTCTGGTAGCTGCCTCTGTAAAGACATAAATCAGATACAGGCTGTACTCGACAGTCAGGTTTATATATTAAATATCTTCTGCTGGCAAGGAATAAATTCATTAAGAAGTGACTAATCCTATATATAGATCTGTGGTCTCATTAATCATGTACCAATACATGTTTAACAATGCAGTGTATCTAGATCTGATGATTGGTAACAATAAGTAGCTGTATTGGGTAACACAGTTTCCGCGTGAAGCCATTTATATTATCTAAGACTTTTCACAATCAATCAATGTGTTTCCATTATCTTTTTAAAAGATGTAATGCTTTATTGATTTGTGCACATACAAAAATAGTGATTTAGACACAATATAGTAATGCAGACTGAGGAATCATATCATGTCCATGGGGGCCCAATGTTTGTGGATTTTGTGGGCCACCCATACCTATGAATTTACTCCCCATTATATCAGTTAATCTTCTGTATACACAATGTTCCCATGAAACTGCGTCCCCACAAGCCAGTAACATTAGGTTGCCAAAGAACAATGACCCCCCTCAAATAAGAATTAATGATTCCACTTTTTTTTTTCCAGGTATCATAGTATTAAATTTTTTCCAGGTATCATAGTATTAAATTTTTATAAGTATAGAATAGAAATAATTTATTATTGTGATATAGTAACAAAAGGATGGTTTGGTCACATATAAGTTACACAAGTGTAATAAATTGTTGATACATAATGTACTAGTAATTTTACAGTAAGCCACATTGAAATGAGAGAGCAAATAGAGTTGTCTTTCTTTGTAGCTTCGTCAGTGGCCTAATTGGGGTGTAGCTATACTTGTAACATTTAATAAGTAGACTGTACTGTACAAGCAATATTAAGGTGTCATATGAAAAAAAGTTTTCCAAATGTTTATATATGGACAGTGTAAATGATTTTTTCATTATAAACTTTAGGATGGGGTAGATGACAGTATTTTCTTTCTGGGAGCATCCAGTAGTGGTGTGTCCTTCCACAAACACGCGGATGCATGGAATGGGGTCATTTATGGACAGAAGCGGTGGTTCCTCTATCCCTCCACTCACACCCCACCTGGAGGTAAGCAAAGGGAGGCAATTCTATCAAGTCCAAAGTTTTTCATTCATAATGTGTGATTTACAGGGAGAAAACTCTGTATGGCTTTTTATTCCCAATATATGCATGTTTTCTGTTACAAGCATTATTTCATCTCATGTTGTCATTTTAAAAGGATAAACATTTTAATGTTTTCATTCACTTATTTCAAGATAATGTACTACCCAACTGGAAGCTAGTATCAATAAACAATACTTTTTAAATAAGAATTGATTCTACACATGTATGTACTGTTAAGTTGTTTTAAAAGAGAATTTACATTAATTTCCTCTAATTATCTATTGAAAAAAATCATGTGTTCAGTTAAGTTTATCCTTTGAATTTCAGAAGTTTACTACCTACAGCATTACTTTTTCCCCCAGTAGTCTATAAATAATCTCATGTGTCTATATTTATATCCTGATTATCCTGGTATATAAATTCCATAATTTCTTGTCTCCAATTTCAGGGGTGTACCCAGGCTTTACTCAGATGGAGTGGTATGACAAGATTTACCCCTCCCTGTCGGGGGATGATCTCCCCATGGAGTGTGTCCAGGAGGCAGGGGAAATACTATATCTAGTAAATTAACTATACAGTAAAACCTGCTCTTTGGGAATTACAAGTGGCACATAGATATAGTTTAGGCCAACTTTAAAAAATTGTTTGGTTGCCCTCTTCCAACTGACTGGCTAAAATTGGCCTGACTCAAAACTTTTTTTAACCTCCAGGTAGCAATTATTATTTTTTTTCATGCATTCTGGAAAATAGATTTTGAAAATTCAGCATTGAAATTGAAATTTTCTGAGAAAAAAATTTCTCACCTACCTACCAACCCAATTTTTTTTTTATCCTGAATAGGGAGAGGGCAAACAAACATTATTTTAAAGTTGGTCTTATTATAATTAAGATTCCTTGTACATGAAATGAGATTCTTCTTGTCAATGAAATTTTTTTCAATGTAAACAACAATTTTTTTTAGTGTCATTTGTCTCTTTTAGCCAGAGGGGACCTACCATGGTACAATTAACCTTGGGGACACAGTAGCTATAGGAATTCAGAAGAAGGATGCTTCCATAGAGACAGAAAAACTCTTCTACAAAGGTCAGTTAAATTCATTCAACTCAACAAATTTATTGATATACATGTACATGTACAAATATAGGCTCTAGAAAGAAAAAAAATGTTCCTGGCTGCACATTGTACATGTAGTAGAATATAAATTTAAATGTAAAAATGCATGGTTATTTTTTGCAGTGTGCCAGGTCATAAATCATACTACATGTGCATAGTTACATTTTTTTTTTTTACATAATGAGCTTTTAACATATTAAAATATGCTAATTATTCAATGTACTCATCTTGTATGATTTCTGTTCACAGCGCATTGCAAAAATTACTGTAATGATTAAAAAATGTAACTTGCATTATTTGTGTGGAAATCATAAATGTAACCATGGTTATAAAGAAGTAATTTTTAGCCTGACAACAAGTACAGACTGATGCAATTATTTAATCTTTCTTTAGCTCACCTGAACTGAAAGCTAAAGTGAGCTTTTCTGATCACCATTGTCCAGTGTCTGTGCAGTTGTCTGTCTGTCTGTAAACTTTTCACATTTTTGACTCCTTCTCAAGAACCACTGGACCAATTTTAACCAAAGTTGGCACAAAACTTCCTAAGGGATAACAGGGATTCTAAATTTTCAATGAAGGACCAAGCCATCTTCCAAAGGGAGATAATCAAGAAAAGGCAAAAAAGGGTGGGGTCATTAAAAAAATCGAAGAACCACTGGGATAGAAAAAGTGAAACTTATGTGGAAGCTTCCAGAGCTAGTGTAGATTTTAAAATAAATCATGACCCTAGGGAGAAGGTGGGGCCACAATACCATAATACCACAATATGGGATTTTACATTGAATTTATAAGAAAAATCTTTAAAAATTATTCTTTTTCTCAAGAACCGCTGGACCAGAAATGATAAATAGAGGACATTCAATGTTTTGTAGAGGAATATGGAATTTACTTCATGTGTGGGATAGGATTTTTTCATATTTTCACGAGTGCGAAGCATGAGTGAAAATATCAAAAAATCCTGTTTCATGAGTGAAATAAATTCCATATTCATCTACAAAACATTGAATTTTCTGTTTATTACATTTTCTTTGATTTTCCCTTTGACTCTGTCTTTTTGTAACAGTGTGTCATAGGCGGTGACATCATAGTTGAGCGGTTGAGACGTCATAGCTAAGCTATTGCGAGATTGAAAAAACGTTTTAATCATGGATTTTTAACAACATATTTGGAGAAACTTTGAGAGTTTTAGTTTCTGTCCAGATGGTTCATTTACTTCCTCTATCTTATGACAGGCCAGGGAGTTTTTTTTAAAAAAAAAAAAAACACTCTTCGTGATGGGAAGGAAATCTCGAGTTTTGCCGCACTTCTGATATTCTCACACTGTGAGAATACCATCTTGATATCCTTTCACACTGTGTCAGAATATCACTTTTATTCAATAAATAAATTACAGTATTTAACTGTTGAAAATGCAATAAGACTTGATATTTGAAAGCTTTCTGAGAAAGCTAGGGGGTCAAAGTTTTGCATGGAAATATTATAAGAAAACATTTTTTTTAAATATCTTTAAAACACAATAGAACAAATTATTTGCAAACATTCCCACGTTGTGTGGATTTAATTTCTTTTTTCCAATTATGAACTCAGGGGTTAAGAGTTGTCTGAAATCAGGATTAAATTTTTTTACTACATTATGCATGTATGCAGGAAAAAAATCTCTTCTCCATAACTGCAAAGCCATTAGTCATATTGATACTGAAGCATCCCCATGGTGTGTAGATCCAGAGAGTGCATTAAAGTTAGGATGGTGCCATAATATGGGTCATAATTTTTCATAGGAATATAAAAATATTTTAAACATCTTCTGAAGAATAGCAGGGCAAAAGTAACTCAGGTGAGCATTGTGGTCCATGGGCCTTTTGATTAAATTTTATTTTTTATTACTCTAACCAAGGGCATTTCAAATTTTTAGGCCATTAAGAATCTTGAATTACTTTCAGCTAAAATATAATGTTGTTTATATTCAAAAATAAATATTGGTTTTCACAGAGCTGAATCTGGAACAAGCGACACCTGGTGCCACCAGAGATAGACTTCTTCAGGAGAGGATCCAAATTTTTCAGAAGCTCCATAAACTTTTACCTGGTAGGTAAACCTTGTTTTGCATTGGACTCCAACATATTTTTGCCCTTCCTCTACAATAAGTTAAATATGTTAAAAGTATACAGTAAATCACTTTTTATTCGCAAGACAAGGGAACTTTGCATAATTACGTGAGTCGGTTTGCTCACAAAAAATATATTCTCGCTTATATTTGTATTGGTGAGGATTATATACAACATAGACCATAGCTCACGAAAATTTTGTCCAAATAGCTAACTCGCTAAAATATAGTGAACTATAGTATTCTATTTTTGTATTTATAGAGAGTACAGAAGTACTGATGAAGTTAGGGCAGGCTTTTTCTGACACAGGGAGGGTTGACGAAGGACTGAAATTCACCCAGCAGGCCATAGACAAAGACCCCCACTTCCTTATAGCTCACCTGAACAAAGCTAAGATGTACATACAGGTTAGCTATACAGCAGCTAACTCTCTAGGAAAGAAATTCTATTTATTTATGCAAATGTCAATGCTGAATAGTTTTCATTTTTACATTGATAACAAATCATTCTAGTATATATTTGTATAATATTAAAGTAATATGTAACAATTAACAAAATGCCTGAAAATTTTGTCCTCCTTTTAAAATTAATACTATTAGATAACTATCTCATGAAAATAAGATGTCAAGAAAAGTTGGTTATATACAGTAATTGATTAAAAACCATGTTGCACTTAATTGTTCTATGAAATGTGATTTTGGAATATATTTTAATTTTGAGTAAAAGCCTTAAATGTATGTGCAAATTGCATAAAATCAGAAGCATAATTTATAATCACTAGGTACTTTTTTATTTCAATAGAAAAATGAAGATAAAAAGGCAGAAGAAAAGCTGAAGATTTGTTTGGAGATGAATCCTAAATTGTGGGACGTACATGCTACATATGGAGACTTTCTGATGAAAAATCAGAGGTTTAAAGAGGCAGCACAAATGTTCAGAAAGGTATGGGGAAAATGTATCATAAAAACAGAGGCCCCATGTCATTGGTAGACTCTGATAAAGAACTCTCTGTTTGTATTTAGCATAGGTCTATAAAACAAAATGTAGCTTAATGAGAGTGAAAATTCTTGCAAGGACTTTAAGCTTAATACAATTAAACAGGATTGGTAAGTTAAAAATTCTGGGTTAAATACATCAATAGGAAATGAACTAAACTGGCGTAATAGTTTAGGATAGGTCCTGATTACTTCAGAGGATTATTTGCCGTCCTTCTACATGTAGTTCATTCCTTTACATGAGAAATTTCTAAGGATTTTATGTGGTTGTTACACATGTCTTATTCAATATTAATATCATTATTTAGGGAACACAAGTGAAGCCAGACATGATACCATTCTGGGCCAATCTGAGGAATGCCCTGCAACAAAGTGGTGACAATGCAGGGGTAAGGGAGGTAAATCTTGTTATCGAACGAATTCAGCGAGAACAGCAGGACAGACAGTGATCGTGATAAATAGTGCTAATTTATACAAGTCACAAAGTCCATAAAACATGCCTTCAATGTGGAGCATATCATTGTTCATTATGTTGAAGTTATTTTTTTCTACTTTGATTTAATTTATTGATGTTTTATATGTTAATTTGTGTGTTTGCAACAAAAACCAATCTGTCTCATTTATTGTGGTTAGAAAGGGAAATTTTAATATCGTAGTAAGAAGGGAAAGTCATGTGATTACATTAATTCTATATATTTTTTATTAATTTGATGTGTGTATCAATGGGAAGATAGTGCATAGTAATCAATCTAATTAAAATTAGATGTTCCGAATCCGCGTCTGCTTCTTTGAGAAGCGGTAGCAGATTTGGAACATCTTATTTTAATTAGATTGCATAATAATGGCATTCCAATTCTGTCAAATATTTCAAAGTGTTGAATGAGTTATATTGTACATCATTGGCTTTCTGCAGCTACATGTATAGTTGGTGTGAAAGGAGTGAGAGGCATTTTTTTCTTTAATTCTGAAGTTGTATAAAAATGTGATACAACTTGATTAGCATAATATGATTTAATGAGATTCATTGATTCAGTTTTTCTTGTTGAAATGGTTCACAATTATAAAACTGTATTTGCATTGTGTTACAAATAATACATTTATAAACAAATATGCCCCTCTCCTAATCAACTTCATGAATTCAGCATTTCATTATTAAAACTACATTAAAACTCTGTATAATATTTTGACCAAATACGGACTCTTTTCTCCAGCTTACTGCATTCTGTTAATTGACTTGTGTACATACATGTATTATACAGTAAAAATCCTTATTATAAAATGCACATCTTTCAACATTTTCAACAGCTTATATTCAACGTCCCTGAATAAGCAAGGGCACTTTGTAAAACATTCCAGTTCTCTTTTCAGTTGTAAGAGTTATCTCTCTTTGTATATTTGATCTCGTTAATGCCTCGCTAGTCTGTGATACTTTGTCCTTCGTTATAAATAATAAAATCAATGTTATTTATTACTTTCAAATAAAAATAGATTAACATTAGTTGTGTTTATTTTATCATGCCCCAGAGATTGTTCCTTCGATGTATTTGGCTCCAGTCTTAAATTTGGCACCCCTTTTTTCAGCTCTTCAAAGTTCTTTTTTATTGCATGAAATATTTCGGATCTCCAGCGTTTTGGCATGAGCATCACTGAAGAGACATAATTTGTCGAAATGCGCATCTAGTGTGCAATCAAAATTGGTACCGTATATGATCGATTTACATTATGACCCCTGGGTCGAGGCCTCTGCTGGTGGACTGTTAGTCCCCGAAGGTCTCTACAGCCCAGTAATCTAGTACATGTACTTCGGAGCTGGCTTGAAAATACGGATAAATATTTAATTGATGTGGTAAAAATTTGAAATTTATTTCAAAATTAAGGATTATCTCCCTTATGCATGACTCTGATCCTTCGATGTATTTGGCTACAGTCTTTGGCACCCATTTTCTCAGCTCTTCAAAGTTCTTTTTTATTTAAATATTTCGGATCTCCAGCATTTCGGCATGAGCATCACTGAAGAGATATAATTTGTCGAAATGCGCATCTGCTGCATCAAAATTGGTACCGTATATGATTTACATTGTAGATTGAGAGGATAATATGTTTTGGCCGAGTTCGTACTCATTTTTCAAGTGTCGACATCTTAATTTGAACTCATATGTTTGGTCAGGGTCATTTGCTACAGGAAAGTCAAGGTAAATGCTGTACTTGTAGCCAATGCTTTCATATTGAAATGCCGCCGTTGACAGCGTTTTATGACAAAATTTAATTTAAACTTATTTAAGACATGCAGATACAAAGTTCATGCATCTAATATTGGTGACACAAAGTTGTACATGTTGTTGGTCTTTATTATACAGTGATTATGAAACGAGGACCTGGCGCGGATCCAGGAATTGAAGTTAGAGGGGGCGCCAAAAATAGGCAGGGGGTCTGGGGGCCGCCTTGAGGCCCCCAGTGGGTCCAGGGTGAAGCCCTGGTGGGGGCCCAGGGGGACGAAGCCCCCGGAAGCTCCTGGATTCTAGAGATTTTGTAGGGTAAAAATGAGGTCTACCGAGTAGACATTTTACATTTTCTGGAGACGAAACTATGATTTACGCTAACTTTGACAATTTTAGGGGGGTGCGCCGGGTGCGCCCCCCCCTTAAATCCGCCACTGAGGACAGGTCAACCCAATCTATTCATGCCAATAGGAATAATAATTTTGCCTATATATACATTTCCCCTATATATAAACTATATAATAAAAACAAAGCTATTAATGCCATGTTTTTAACTAAGTGGAAGTAAGTGCAAAATTTACAACTTTGTAAATTTTGCATTTACCTCCACCTACTAAATTCAAAATTTGCATGGTTCTAATATGAGGTAAAGAGGTGATCCCTCAATAATAACATCTAATGACTGGGGGGGGGGGAGGGGGTAGGTTAAGCCCCTCCCCCAAACCCAGAATGAAATTTCTTCCAAATGTCTTTCTGACATATTTTCTATTTATCAATAAAATCTGCAACATGTCAGAAAGACAATGGGCATGCTTAACATTAACGTAAAATATGTCCCCTCCCCTAAATCCAAACAGAAATTTCTTCCTACAGACATAATATTACCAACGTAAAATAAAGATGGGAAAACTTGTAATTTAAAGATTGTCTGATGTTACAGAAATTCCACAATCTCTTATTGCATTTCATCAAGATTCCATCTGTAATGTCCAATTGGAAATCAGAAGCTTTAATCGCCACCGTCTGCTGAAATGTTTGAACGTGTTAACTTCATTTCGTTCTGAGTAAGAATCCTTGTAATCCTGATGTAAAAAGTATTAGTCACGCACTCTCCTCTTTTATCAAGAATTTTAATCGAGCATTTGCGTCGTCTACTTAAAGACGTGATTGTTGAGTGTCAGTCTGCTCAGTAATTCTTCGTTGTAGGCTATGTGTACAATCTAGAAAAATGTCGACAGTGCATCTGTGTACCAAAATGATTTTTATAATAATTTTTTATAATATATACGCATAATTAACAGCTGCAAGTTTTGACTCGCAAATCTAGGAGCACGAAACCAGTTCCCGCTGATCTTTACGTGCATCTTGTGAGGGTGCATTGCAAGCACAGATTGCAAGGAAAATACACTTCGCTAAAAATGCCTTGTGTATTGATGACAAAAAGCAACGCACAGAAGAACTCGCATCCTCATCCTATCTCGCAAATACCGAGAAACTTTTACACCATGGGCGTGATATGGAGCTGACAAAAACAATACAATCAGTCGATCGATCTAGCGGACTTGGCCAAAATTAACACAACTTCCCTTGTCAAAGCCCGACATTTCTGGAATTCCAGGAGATGATACATAAAAAATATACACCTCGAACGTGTATAGGGTCAAGTTACGAGGGCAAATTATACAAACACAAGAGGAGGAAAGCATGGATCAATATAATAAAGACTAGCATTAGGAGATAGGGGAACTAACACGATTGTGAATCGAACACACCCAGCATCAAGGACGGGGCATGTTTGCTTAGAAAAACTGGTCACATAGATTCAGTTACCGGAAGTCTGGAATGCAGAAATATTTGGTGCATGGGCGGCACTGGGCGCCATTCATTACAAATACAACATATAACTGCATGAAGTCAAGGAAATTTGATTTAAAAGAGAAAAACAGTAACTACATTAAAAGTTATTTCTTCCAATTTTAATTTAACTGCATATCTAATACGTTTACTTCATAGGCGCTCCCTAACTAATTCAGTGACGAAGAGTGACAAGGCTATGTAGGTTTATCCCTATAGTCTATACTAGTGTTATTTTTTTTAAGTATAGGCTAGAAGGGAAGGTAGTGTATTATTATTCGTCATTTACTAAATAAGATGACTAGCGCTCGTGGTTTACTTTGCATCATTATACTTCATTATAAAGTTTTTTAACTTACAGCCTGCTGATTATGATCGAACCTTTTTCTGCATAGCTTTTCCTCCTAATTCAAAGTAGAAACGTGCTTGTTCTATCAAAACTGAATTAAATTAAAATTGAATGCCTATTTCAAATTTTTAAATTTTTAACAAAATTATACGCTTTTTTCCTGACACTTTTGTAATTTTTGCAATTGTTCATAATTATATTGAGTTTTGCATACGAAATTGGTTAAACTATGTCTGCTGTCGGCGTGTGTCACAATAACAAACAAACACACAAATAAACAGTACGTTACATGTATATCTAGGTACATATACTAGTACTTTGCATTACTACAGTAGTCCTGTTTGGCATGCTGCATTTCAGTGATTTTGACCCATTGATCAAACTTTTAATGAAAAAAAAAAGTTTTTTGATCAGGCTTCTTTTCCAAGTACATGTAAGAACTGTAAACTGTGTTTCAAAAATATGCTGCATTTTAAGATGTATACTACCAATCATGTTTTAATTTTTTTTAGTTTGAGTGACAATGGCAACGTATATGGAGCAGTCCGATTATTAAATGAGACCAGCATTGAAAATGATGTACACAATAGCCTGAGTACTGTATTTTAAATTCATCTTGGTAGATGGCCTACTTTAGCAATCTGTAACTTCCTTTTTTGAGGAGTCACTTTTAGCAGTTGATGTATGTTTTGTTCCTCACGTTGCTTGAGGTGAACCCTGTAGAGTAACTGAAGTACTTTCATCTTCTTCACTTATTTTAGCTATTGAGGTACTTTTTCTTTTCTCTTAAGGTGCCCCTTTTTGCGTCATTACCCGCGGTCCCTTGTTAAGCAGTGGAAATGCTTTATTGTCCCGGGCCCCGCTTTCACTGAAGTGGGGGATATTAATTTGTGTCTGTCTGTCCGTCCGTCTAGCTGTCATTCTGCTGGTGTGTAACACGTTCGTTTCCAAAAGATATTTCAAGATGCCTTTGAGCTTTTGCAATGAATTTTATACCACAACTCCCTGTGGTCTAAAGAAGACACCTATTTATTTTGAAAAAGTCAAAGGTCATCGATTCATAATTCTGTTTCTGTATAACACTATCCTTTCCAGACGATATCTTAAGAAGCCATTGAGCTTTTGCAATGAAATCTTATGCCACAACTCCCTGTTGCCTCAAAAAGACCTTTATCGATTATGAAGTCAAAAGGACAAATGTCAGGGTCCTCGATTCATTCATTCTGTTTGTGTGTTACACTTGAGTTTCCGGGCGATATCTTTAAAAGTCTTTGAGCTTTTGCAGTAAAATTTATTTATAATAACTCCTTATGGTCTAAAAAGACCCCTTACTATTGATTTTGAGGCCAAAAGGCCAAAGGTAAAATTTATACAATACAAATAACATTTTCTAGATGATAATTTTAGTTTTCTTTGAGCTTTCTTCAATAAAATTTAATATCACAACTCCCTATGACGTAAAGAAGACGCATATCGATTTTGACGTCAAAAGGTCAGAGGTCAAGGTCATCATTACATCCTGTTTGTGTGTAACTTTCGTTTCCGGACTTTATCTTTATAAAAGTCGAAGTTTTTTTCAATGAAATTATAATATCACAACTCCTTATGGCCTAATGAAGACCCCCTTTGATTTTAAGGTCAAAGGTCATATTCATACATTTCCACATGATAACCATTTTTTTTTTTTAGCTTTCTTCGATAAAATTTTAACATCACAACTCCCTATGGCCTAAAAAGAACCCTATCGATTTTCAGGTCAAATTGTCAGAGGTCAAGGTCATACATTCTGTTTTTGTGTTACAATTTCATTTCTGCACGGTATCTTAAAAAATCTTCAAGTTTTTTGCAATGAAATTTTATATCACAACTCCCCATGGCCTTAACAAAATATTGATTTTGGGGTCAAAAGGTCAAGGTCAGAAATATATATTTCATGTATAGTTTTCAGATAATAACTTAAGCTTTTCTGTAAGCTTTTGCAATAAAACTTTTCGTCATGAATTTCTTTTACTTTTAAGATCTAGACTCACTCCTATTGACTTCACGACCAAAAGCTGAAAGGTCAAGGTTGACCTTATTTCTTTCTCCATCTGCAACTTTTTCCCAGTTCTTCAACCCTCTTCTTTTTTCCTTAAGCTGGGGACACAAATTCTCTGAATTAACTTGTTTTCTTCATTTAAGGTGCCCATGTTCAGCAACTGCGCTGTTTTATAGTTAATACACTGCTTTATCTGTAGCACTGATGTCATACATGTATATATAACATTATGCCTCATGTCAGGTGCCCTTCCATAGCCATTATCCAGAGAAGAAGTATAACTTTTTAAGTAATACAAAGATAATTTTTTTATATTGTTTTATTTTCATCCTTTAGTCCATAAAATAAAACATACACATGTACATGTATAATGTACATAAGCCATATAACAAATACTCTTGGTCATTTCCTGACTTTATCATCTTAACAACACTTGAATTTCAGATCAATTCTTGCACAGAATTCCAAGAAAATGTATAATTACATTCTTAACTATTTTAATTTGATTTTCTTACACGTTTTCATTTCAAGACAGCACATGGAAAACACCTAGCACAATGTATTCAATATATTATTTTAATAACATGAACTTGTAATAGCTAGAACATTGATCTGATCATTTCAGACATAATTGTAAATAAGGAAAAAAGAATCTACAACTTCCTGTTACTTAAACCAAATAGTAAAATTTATACATGCAACAATACATTTCTTGTATCACAAACATAAAATGCACAACCTCAAAACACCGATTAAAAAAGCATGCGGAAAAAATACAGGTAACAAAATATTGACAACATTCTGCAGTTTCCTCTGACTTTCAAAATAATTTTATATTAATCAAACAAAATTAAGGAAATCTTATTATTGAAAACAGCACAATAATTTATACTGTAACATCTTTGTTTGTTTGTTTTTTTTTTTTAAAAGATTCCAAACAAAACCAGAATTGCAGTAAGACAAACTAAATAAAATTCTGGGTGCTTTTTAACCAATCCTTGAACCATATGACTATAACATGAAATCTGACTTTCAAAAACAAACTATGCATGGAATGATAAAAAGATAAGTACTATCTAACTAATAATTGCATTGATAATTAAACTAAAGACCCACAAGTCCATACAGCTATGAGTTCTCTCCCCCTTCTTTTAAGGGAATCTTGGTCTTGCAAATGTTCTAATAAAAGGCCATGCATGATTATTTTAATTTGTGTAAATTTACACACTTCTAAAACTATAATAAGGTGTTTGTGTGATACAAAACTGTTCTCGTGTCTGGACTTGATTATAAAATATTGACAAAATAATATCAATCTGCAAATTAAAGTGATAAAATACAAATCATATAAGCTGAGTATTTGAAATTATACACTCTAACAATAGAAACTATAGTAATCATGAAGCACTACACACATATACAATAATATCATTCTTAATCAACTCTCCTGATAACAAAATCATTGGACTAGCTGGTAACTGAGGGTAGATGATGATTAAATGTTTGTGATTATAAAACATCTTATGGATAAACATATGTATGCATGATTAAAATATCTAGCATGGTACAACCTATTTAGTTATAATGACTCCACTATATGAAATTTAATTTTTTTTTTCTTTATCATGATTACATATGTAACCTATTTACTGTTTTAACCAGCAGTTAATGAGGAAATGGAGGTTTTATTACAGAAAAAAAATCATTGACAATGATTGAAAGTTTATCAGTCTGATAAATTATGTAACTGCATGTTCATAAAGTTTCTTGCATAGAATCAATCTTCCGTCACAATGCACTGAGTTTATTTAAAGAATTCTAACAGTTAACACTGAAGAACACAAGTAAATGCATACACACAAAATAAAGATTCACTGCGATAAGAAAAACATCACACCTTAAAACATAAATCTTTTGAAATAAAAGCACTTACTCAAAAATGATGACAATATATAAGGCAAAAAATGTCTCTCCCAGAGTCTTTTCTTACAACATTCTGTAACATGTTTTTGGAAGCTGATGAAAAAAATATTATCTACTCAGTTTAGTTCGACATTTTCAAACACACCGAGGAACCACACACAGATACCTAAACTGCATTCTCACTCATACAGACCAATCAAAACCATCCAAACAGTTACATCCACCAATCAGTAACACACTAACATCCCTGTATTAACATTATGGTGGCACATAGGGTGCAGGATTTCTATGTGCTGGCTGCATGTGCGGACGTGGCTGTTTGTTGGATCCCCCTGAAGGAACAGGGGGTGGGGGCTGGTACAGGGGGGAGGTAATGTCTGTATCCATTTCATACTCCTCCCCATGATGATTTTCTTGTGAGGACCTTGAATTTTCACTTGAGCCCCGAGTGTACTCAGGTGGGGGCATAGGTGGTTTTTCTTCATCCATAATCAAAGGCTTGGAAGCATCATTTGGCTTTTCATCATACTCATCTGGGAAAATAACAGGTGCCCCTTTGTTGACATAATTGTTCTTGTCCTCAAGTGACATTTTTCCTTTCCTCTTCTTTTGATAGAGGACACAAGCAATAATCAGGAAAATGATTAATAAAACAACAATAACAACAGCGGGAACCACTGTTGTTAACCAGATCTCATCCTCTTCTTCTTCCTGGTATTCCTTCTTCCCAGGATCAGTTGGTTCTGAAGTGGGTTTATCTGTCCCTGGCTCATCTGGTTTAGGTGTCATTGGCTGTATAATTTTTCCAGATGTAGGGAAGTCTTCATTTCCAATACATGCTCCCATGGGAATAGCCTCCACATCATTTAGTGGATAAGGGAATTCTTCTTTGGCCTTTTCATTGACTGTTCCATCTTCATTGAGAAACTTGCCCATTGTCTCTGATACCTGCTTAGCTGGGCAAGAATCTGTTGGGAGTTGGTTATTGGTCCAGGAATAAATAACAGAACCAGGCTGTATATCTAGCACTGTGATGGCATCTGCATCTGCTGAACCAAACATGAACTGAGCCAGACTCCTTGTCAGATCTTTGACTTTAGTATTGGTGAACTTATTATAATCTGCATCAAATGTCATGCTGATTTTATGAGAGGGTTCTCCACTTAATCTTTCATCAGGTTTGACAGTTACTTTCACAACATAGGTAGCCAGCAGTCCAAAAGAGTTTCCAGCTTTTAGAGAATACATATGCTTTCCCTGTTGTTTGTTCATTGGGAAGCCAACAATTTTAAAGTTGCCAGTTTTCTTTCCCTTCAGCTCCAACCAATGATTCTTTGGTAAGACGTCAGTATCATTGCCAAATATATTAATGGTCAGTTGCTTTGTATTCCCATCTATGCAGTCATAGAAAAGATTGTCAGGTAAAGGATACTGAATCTCATGGCCTACCTTGAAGACCACATCCTTCATTTTTCCGGTGACTATTGGAGGACGACTCTTTCCATCATCTGGACAGTTCGGATCCTCAGGTTCTGGTTGTGGAGTGACCTTGGTTGGAGCATCAGTGACCGTCATAGACTTAGTTGGCATGATCTCAGATTTGTCCACAGGAGGACTAGGTGATGGAGATGGTGTGATAGGAGCTGAAGTGACCACTGCTGGTTTGGGGGTGGAAGTTGTGGTGGTCTTGGTCATCATATCTGTGGGCTTGACTTCCATAGTAGGACTTGCAGAAGGCATGATCATAGTTTTGGTAGGCTCCACCTTGGTATATGATGTCTCCATGACAGGAACAGACCTAGTCAGTTGTGCAGTGGTCACTGATGGCTTGATGTCTGTGACAACTGTATCTGGTAACTTAGTTGGTGGACTAGGAGTATCAATGACAGTAGCAGTTGCCATAATGGCTCTACGTCGACGTTTTGGCTTCTCCTGAATAGCAGTGTTGATGACATGCCATCCTATGATGTTGTGTCCTACACTTTGTTTCATTTTACCACTTGCTGCAGAGGTCTCAACCTTTTGCAGAACATTCATGTGGTCCTTTTGAACACTTCCACAGCCAACCAACCAAGAGAGCATCATACCAGGGGTGGAGAGATCTTTTGAGTCCCCCTGTCCTCTAACAAGAGCAGATTTATCAAAGACTTCCTTGTCTCCTAGAGGTAACATCTTCATCATGTCCGATGCCAGATTAAGGTGCTCAGACAACATGTTCATCAAGTCAATTCTCTCTGAGGGAGGCATTGTCATCATGTCAGCATCCACCACGATAGTGGCAGACGTTTCCGGCTGCTCCCGTTTACACCTTACAGTCTGTGGCTTGCCGTCAGTTGATTTTGAGGTGGGTGGGACATGATTTGGTGGGCTTTCCACCACCACTTTGATGGAGAACACATCTTTGGCTTGAGAATTTTGTGGTCCTGTGGTCACTACTTCCAGGTAATTGTCTCCAATGTTCGAGGGAGATGGGATCCCCCTCAATTGTCGAGATTCTTCATTGAAGATCAACCAGCTAGGTAGAGAGGACTTTCCAGCTTCCGTAACCTAGCAATATAATATAAAGGTTAATAATAATTGCATTTTCCTGTAATGTATTCTTAAGGACATACGCAACGTAGTTAGAACTTTATTGTCTTTTTCCCTGGAGTTGAAGAGTTCCAATACTTAAAGGAACTGTGTGCTACATTTTAATGTCTATATATACTGTTGTACACTTCTTCTAAAACAAGTTTTGATATATAAAACATCTAGAATATATGCTTAGTAATTTTTGTATATTTTTCTTTAAATTATACAATAATTTTCATCAATTGATATCTTTTCAAAACCCCTGGTAATGCATGCTGATTTTTTGTCTATGAACATCTGATGGCATTATAATCTTAAATTAAGAATATCTTGAAAAATTATCAGTAGGTAAGGTACGTTGCGTATGTCCTTAAAGTGCAAAAAAATGTGAAACAAAACCAGTGCACATCATTTAAATGTGCAACAATTGGCAACACGTAGTAATCTAGATATTACTTGTGGGGCAATTATGCAAATATTCAAGGTTTAAAGATAGCTTATTTACCGGGAAAATTTTATCTCAGTTATTATGAGAAAATAAAACCAATATATCAAAAGTTTGCCTAGATTGCACGTTTCTGTCGGAAGTGGGACATTTTACTAGAAACGTTTTTGATCCACAGATTTTCAGACATTAGGATTTATGATAAAAATATATGGCCCATTTTTTTCTTCTTGTAACATAAACATCTGTGTAGGAACTCAGGGAGAAAAGAATGTTACATGCTGTGTACCAGTCATTAACTTTTATTACATTTTTATGCAATCTATCAGAATATCTTTACAAAAAAAAAAAAGGATTCCAGGACTTAAGTCATAGAATACTCCGATTACTCCGTGCATGCTGTATGTGTCCGACTTCAAGGAGATTTATTTACCGGTATCATTGAAAGTACATCTAAACTTTGGACACCATCAAAGCTTTTGTTCATAATTATACAATTTAAGTACCGGTATATAATAAAAGAATTTCCTACATGCTTTGTCTAAAGGAAGCTCCATAGTTTTCTCTTATTAACTCGTTAAGAAGAATTTAACCACATCTGACTTTTAACAGTTTAAATGTTTGTCTCCCTGAATGTTCTAGCATTGAAGAAAGATTGCATTTTTTCCCACTAAATTGGAGAATAAAGATACATGTACAAAAAACACAGAACAAATAATGCCCAACCCTGGCAGAAAATATATTATTTGATGTCAATTTCACTCTTTCTTCTACCTACTCAAGGTAATGAAATTTATATTTTACAATTTTTTTTAACATACTGATACAGCATGGAAGGTATTTTTTACAATAGAACAAGCATAGATTTAATGTTTGGTTGAGAGGAATCCATTGAGATTCCTCGATGAGTAAAAATGGTACAGTAACAAATAAGATGGTTACATGTATTATTGTGAGAGGAAGATATAAGGAACAGTAGAGGTGAGCTAAGGTCAACACAAAATGGCCAATGGGTGGTCATCAACTTCCCTCTTGCCAATAGTTATAAAGCTAGTAAGCAATTCTGCCTAGACTCCATTCATGTTATATGTACATACTATAACTTAAAGATCACAGAGTTATCTTCTACATGTAGCTCAGGGACATTTTGCTTTTCTAAATTTGGTTAAGAGTTGAAAGAAATCTGTATGTAATATATATAATTTTGGAATACAACTTGCCAATTGCCTTGAGGATAATGTTTATTTTCTTCACATTTATTTACCAGTTGAAAGAGAGAGAAAAAAATTGCTGTGCTTTGAGTGATATATTACGTAATTTTGCAGGCAATAAGCTAACATTATGCTCCACTATTGCATGAGACATAAAATTATTTTCTCTGGCACAGACAATTTGGGGATCAAATTAAGTGTAAAAACGTTTTTTTCCCAAGAATGCTCCATTTCCATATGTCAATATATTTTACTAGAGACAAAATACAAAGATTATTTGCTGATGAATCCGTAAAAATGTATCTGCCTTATGCCTATAAACTGTAACCATTAGCATGCGAGTTACTGACAAAAACATCTTCATCAAGTAATTAACAAAGGGTGGGAACAGAATCACATAATGGGGAAAACATTCCCCCGTCTTATCTTATACTGCCTCCCAAATGTTGACAATGGCTTAATGTCCAATGTCTTTTGTTAAACAGACTATCAAAGAGAACGTTTTCTTGAGGGATACAGAACTGGACAGATGACAACAATGAATGGTGGTACAACCACCATTTTGTGTCTAGAATACAGCTTTCCCACAAAGATAAGAATCTGTCTGCCAAGTTTCAGACAATTCCATGCAGAAAATACTGTACCACAATTATGCTCAGAATGTGATGACTACATGACAGAGAGATAAAATGTAAAGGTCACAAGGAACTATGAAATGACTGAGGATCTTGTATCTATATACTTAAAACAGTTGACTGTCTGTATAGTGATCCGAGATAAAAATTTGTTCACTTTTGTGGGAAAATTTCAAATGTAGCATCTGTGTTATGTCTGATATAATGCATCATTTGTAAAATATGTCAATCCCAAAGGGGAATATGTGAACTACATATTCTATAAATGTATTTATCTGTCTGTATGTATACACTGTTAATTAATGCACTGACCTAGAACTCATGTAATGCCTATGATTCCTAAAAAGATTCAGCATGCGAAAAAAAAAAAAAAAAGTAAAAAAGTCAGAGAAGAGAACCTTGACAGATATTTCACATAAAAAAAAAAAGACTGTACATAACACTCCAACAGGAGAATACCCATAAATCATACTTATATTAATAAATTCTTTATCAGCTGCAGACAGATGAATCCATGCTTCTACCACCATTTTTGACAGGTGATGATAAAAGAAGGAAACATCAAGAAAAATTTATAGGTGTACAAAAACAAAACCTAAGACCCTCCATTACCCAATATTAATCTGCGGAGCTGCACTGTTTATTTGACATGATGTGTTGCGTTTCTGTGTATTCTGATCAGCACAGGGAAAGTATTTTATTCATGAATCGTTTACATTATAAATGCAGTTAAATTTATTGTGCCTGAAATTTGACACATTCAGGGTTGCAGTTGATTTGATAATGTGGTATAACAGTCTGTGAACTTGCTGAATAAGTTATTGATAATTCATCTGATATTTTTGTTTTTGGAAGAAAACTAAATTTTCAGCATTATTCATGAGTCTATGAAAACAAGTCCCCCTTATTTTGCAGAATTGTGAACAAAAGAATTGACTGATGATGATCATTACTGGCCACTGAGAATTTTAAAATGAAGTCGACCTAACAGTGAGGTTACAATACTAGCTATTATAGGATTTAAGATCTAGATGTATCATTTTCAGGTCACACTGAAATTAATGTGTCAACATACAGTGAATTAAAAAAATTGACTCACTCACCTTCATACTTTGAATTGTCCCTCTGAAAGCATCATCAGGTATGGCAAATTTGAACATTTTTCCTACATTGGATGAAGTATCTGCTATTCCCCATTGAAGGGCCACAGGGGCCTGAAACTCTACTGTCCCTTTATGAAGGTCCTGTTGGCGCAGGGTGTCACCTATGTCTATCTTCAGATTCTGAGCTGAACAAACACTCACAAATATTGTCACAAGAAACAGAACACCCATTGTGTGGCTTTTTACTGAGATCACTCCAAGTTTGGATAAGAAATTTCTCCTGCGACAATTCGCACAGTCAGTGTTGGGATTTATATGCTCCACGTTATCTGATTTAACAACCTCTGTTAAATATTCCATCACATCAGCGAAAGAATTTTTGTATGAGTATCCTCCCAAAATTAATTTTTTTTAATTTAACAATTCAGATACTCCTGCAATTACATAAGTAATAGTAATCCTAGAGGCTAGGAATGTGCAGATCCCTGTAGGTGTTTTGATCACGCAGCTGTATATAAAAAAAAATCCACACGTTAGCACTGCAGATGGAATCTAGAATGCACTATTAAAACTAACACAGCACAGTCAGAGAGAGATAAAAAATGGTGCAGGATAGGGAAAAAAGTCCTAAGTCCTCAAGTGTAAGTAAAGTGCTTTATGCCAGGATCCAACTCTGTTCCAAAGTGTCATCTAGTACCTCCCTGGAATATACCTGAAAACAAGATAAAAAGATTAAGTGAAAAGCAATTGACAGAAAAGCTGATTATGTTGTAACACCCACATAAAGGCCCCAGCTGTTTGTGCCAGGGAAAATTCTTCCTAAAACAGGGGAATCTAATCAGCTTTAAGGAAATCAGTCAACTAGGGCCATTAAGTGTCAATAAATGGAAAAAGTTCCTTTCCATTTATAATGCAGTAAAGGTATTTGCATCTCAGACAGTCCAAAATAGACATTTCCATTTTTGCACATGTAAAAATATCTCATCACATCTTGTGAGTTGTGATACTGAAAACAACCACTAGGCACTGGAAATTTGAAATATTTTAGGCTATAATCTTGTTATATCACATCTATAACTGAAATATATTTGAGTCACACTGAGTGGGAACTTCATTTTTTAAAAAAAATATTCATGGAGTCACAGAGTCTTAAAAACTTTCGTGAGAACACAAATAATCTTCTGAAATCCATTGACAAAAGCACAACTTACCAGTAATCAAATTCATAAATTCAGTCATCTATTGATGCATAAACCACACATAAATATAAACTGTTCCTGATAACCTGGCCCACAAAAAAGCAATGTCCATGCAAAAAACAAAGTGTAGATTCCTAAGCTATGAATAATCATAGGCAGAATTTGTCTTGTATATTAACTTTGTTATGTAGTTCCAAAACAGCAGTGAGCACAAGTCACTTCAAGGCTTAGACATAAATGAGGAAATAAATTCCAGGATAAATTATCTGCTGTAAAAGTGTCTATTGACTTTAAAAATCAAGCCAGCATCTAAAATCACCTCCCTGTAGCCTGGACATTTTGACATTGCTCCAAAAAATTCAATAATACACTGCCAACGAGAACACTCAATCTAGACAATGAAAGCTGATCACATTGGATGCTAGGGATCTTCTGATCTGCACCAATACACTAATCGAAGACAAAAGCTACCACAGGCCCAGTGTGGCTATAGTGCACAGCATAACACACAATGGGTTTCTGTTGTGAGGTGCACAACACACAATACACAAAGGGTTTCTGCTCAAACCATTATATTATCATCTGTGAGCAAATGAACCTACCTGATGGAAAAGACAAAACACAAGATAATGAATTTATAATACATTCAATTTCTGGTGATGAAAAACAAGGCTAATCATAGACTGACTCTTAGTACATTTCCATTATAAATACATGTATACACATTAGAGTCAAGAAAATTAAGGTATTACTTTTCATCAGAAGTCAGTCTGTCATCAACAGATTTCAGATTCTCACAATTCCATCTGCATCTGGAGACAACAATGCTTGAAGAAATTTCATGGACCTATAGACTCTGGTGATTTGAATATTTCAGCTGACCTCCCCCCTTTCTGGGGAGGATTGTTATCCCTATGAGTTATACCATCCTTGATAAAGATGACATATGTTATCAAGACCTGCAGCATTCCATATTTAATTTCACCAGATAACAATGTTTTATTGTCAGATCTGCAGAAGCGTTAAATGATTCACAAAATTCCGACAAGTCATGTCTGATATACAGGAACACCAACTCAAATGCCACTAGTGAAAAGTTGAAAGAATGAAACTGAAACCTTAATGACACACCTGCTTTCTATAATAGCTATACTACCCTCTAAAAATATCCATCACCCCCTGGGGTGGGGTGAACAGGTTGATGTCTGGACAAATAGACATCAAAAGGAACACACTGATTGCACTTTTGAAGGACCCCATGTAGAGAGTAATAATTTCTCCATTCACAGATAGGTAGTTAGATTATCACACTTCAGAGAACGCATTGATGGCTATCAATAAAGGGAAATCTACACAACCACATACACAAAAGGTAGCATCGATCTCTTAGTCCTGTCAGCTAATAAAGATGACATCTAGTAAGCTTTTGTGTCAATATATTACCTGTATGTAAATGTGTGAATCAGAATTCGTCCAAAGGTTAAGTTTCATTGGCATTATATAGTGAAGCAGGATTTCTTGGAGTGATGAAAAATACATGAAATCTCAAAGGAATTTTTTTTTCAATTATTTATAAATATCCTTCTTTCCTAAGACTTTGCCAAAAACTTTTTGATGCAAATTAATTTTAAATCACACATTTAATAAAATTTGTTTGGTTGATTTAAATATCTTTAAAACATACTAAATCTTAAAAGAATTGATTCATATTGCCCTAAAATGTTAGCTTGTATAAATATTGAGTTGGAATTTAAATGTGCAAGGAAATGTTCCAGAAAATTACCTTCAATCAAATGAGCTTCAACATCTACAACTGTAATAAAAATTCCTGACTTTGCGATAATTAGTAATTTGTTGAGCTATAAATAACTGTCAGGCTAATTCTATATCACATTTAACTGTCTGGAAGTTTACCAACAAACTGACCAGACACATTCCAGTACCCAGCATTTATATTTCTCTAAGAGTATTTCACACCTGTCATAGGACTTTCCATATTCCCCAAATGGTCAATTTCTAACACCTGAGTGCAAAGTGACAAACCCTGGCTACACATTAACTATAATCTCCTAAGGGCCCAACAGTGATGTTAATTGCACAAAACTGTACATGTAATTAGCATGATTGGTTGGCATGATTAGTGATAATTACTAGTTTGAGGGCTAAGTAAACAACATCAAGTTGAAGTGTAGAGTATTTGTAGAAGTGTCCACACTAAAGAGTAAATCACTTCACACTGTACGCTAGGGTAATTATCAATAATTTGTGATAATTTTATCACCAAAATAGTTACATATACATGTAGGTATAAAGAGTCAATGCTCCCAACAGCAGACAGACAATAATTATGATTGCAATTATATCAGCCTCCCTGATACAGATTTTCAATTTCAACAATAAACAATTATATATGGCTGAAGGAGTATACTGATAAATTTTTGTCAGCTGTTGGAGTGTTTATGTGTCTTGTCAGTAAAGATTTACACTCTTTCTATTGTGAGGAAGGCAATCCTTACATAAAACATACTGCTTTGAGAGGAGATCTTCTTAATATACACCAACAACATATCTCTTTATTTTGGCAGAAATGTTCAATAACTAACACACAGAGCATTCCATTATATACATTCCAACCAGCTTGGCCTGAAATAAACCTGGTATTTTCTGTGACCCCCCAAACACCTGCTTCTTTCTAATGTAATTCTATATTCCATTTCATACCAAGGTCACTATGTCAAACAAGATGGTGATAATTGTCCAAACTCTAGCTAAGCACCTTTCCTGCTGAGAAAATTGAGGTTTAACTTCTTGTTATCTGGGTTATTTGTCCAAACTTCTAAAACATGCTGGGCAAGAAGTAGGGCCAATGAATTCCATCCACTCGGGAGACCCGTACTGTCCAAATATTCCAAAAACAGGATTTTTAATCTGAATTATCAAAGACAAACTAATCTCTTACTTATTTCAACTATCTAAAACTTTCATCTTTTTCTTACATACAAATCTGCAACCAACTTTAAAATTTATTTCATTCAAAGATTTTTTTTTTCAATGACTCCAGTTTATGACTGCATCACTCCAATGCAAGACTCCACTCCATACACCTGAATTTCTCAAATGCTCCTAAATACATAGCATCAAATTCACTCCTCAGACAAGCTACAGACTTAAATGACAGTTTCAATACAATCATTAACACATGCAATCAAAACTTTCAACCATTGTTCTCACAGAAACATTCATGTGCTTTGGGTGCACGGATCTGGCCCCTGTTTATTTTCAGTGATTCATCATCCCCTAATTGACACCACACAATGTTTTACTGCCATTTCACTGACCAGTTAATTACACAATATTGATATAAATGTGGGTGATCCATCATATCATGACAATATCAACACACAGTTACTTCCCATTATATCAAAACATGCAATAAATCATACCTCAGCTATTTGTAAAGTTGTCCCCCCTTTTGCTGATGTATTTCCAGACTCTATTGATCAAGGGTTTGGTTTGGCATCTGCGTTTGAATATTTTCTTTACTAAATTTATACATGTACTTATCAATTTCTAACTTTTTAACCACTGTTAACCATAAACACTGTTTACATACTCTATTTCATTTATACCAAGATTTCAAATAAATTAAATGTCAGTGCAATTCTGTAAAGAATCAGTTTAATATGTGACAAACTAATCTGCTCCAAAGGACAATTTCCTCCCGGATTCAAATACATTTTTAATGTCCACTGCATCATTACCAAGTCAAAAAGCTACAAAGATGATGATGATGAATTTAGACTTTCCAATTACAGCTGGTGTTTCACACAAATCCCCACTGCCAATCCATAAATAATGTATCCTAGCTGCCCATCCTCCATGCAGTTTTGACAATATTCTAAATCACATGCTTCCAGAAAGTCTCTTTAACTCAATAACATCTTCGTTCACTTCAACAGAATGATTGTCTTGAAAAAAAAAGGGGGGGGGGTTCTAATTTGTAGATTTTGCACATCTTCAAAAATTTGAACACCCTTCCTCAACTAAATCAGCATATCAAATAGAGATGACTTCTGACTGTCACAAAAAAGTTACCGATTTTAAAAAGGCATCTCTTTTGAAATGATCATACAATGTATATCTTATACATTTCAAGTATTAAATGAAATTTCTTCTGATTTATGAAAAGCATCTAGGATATTCCACCCTGATACCCAAACCCATCTGTTTCTGACAATGGGTTCTGTGCCTATATGTTTACTCTCTATAATGAACATTAGCTTAATGTCTAGACCCCAGTAAGAGTATAGACCTATAAAACAGCAGTGGTCCAACAGTGTGAAAAATACCACCCAATTCTAAAGGAAAATTTCAGTGACCATTTCTATTCTCTAAATGTCCTACTGATGTACTTAAAATTGAGTTTAGTCAACAAGACACTTTACCCCTATAATCAAATCAGGAATGACTTTGAACCCTGGAAAGACTCTATAATACAACTCTAACTGTAAAACTCAGTTTCTTGTGGTAAAAATCTGCCTTCCATTGGCAGGGTTGTCCCTAAGACCCAGTGGTCGGGGAATTTCCCCGCCTAAAATGATGTGGTTATTTTGGTATTCCCCCTAAACTCCCAATATGGGGAGGAACCCCAGACCTCCTTCTACTTTTTTAACGTTCCCTTCTATTTCAATTCCTAGGGACAAGCCTACATTGGAGTTAACTTCTACCAAAATATGACTTATTTCTGTCTTCCAGTGATTTTCTTTACGCCCTCAAAAGTTAGCTGCCCAAAAACAATCATAAAATAAAGCCAACAGCAGGATTTCTATAATTAACAGGAAAAGATCCCATTTTTTTTCCTAGTCTCTCTTCCTCAATCCAATAAAGCAAAATCAATATTTCTGTAAGAGTATGCCGATAATGCGCTCAAATATATATCCTAGGGGATGCTGGAACTGCATAAATAAAATCCTGGAAATTCCTGGATTTTACCATCACTCTTTCTTGGATAATGTCTCAGCTGAAATGAGGGAATCTCCTAGACATGATTATTACCTACACCTCTCTGTTAACTTAATTACGGTTACCGTAGAAGTACTTTTCTGCATAGTATTAATTTATGCTATACAAAAGGTCACAAATTGTCCAAAGAAATTTGTCCCAATGTACTGAAAGTACATTTAAGGCATATAGTTGCAATTTAAGAAATCCATGTAATTTT